GGGTCTGGCTCGGAGGAGGCGTCGCCGCTTTCACTGCCGGCCCGCTGCAGTCACCAGGAAACACCAGGAGCTGGAGCCAGCGCTGCGTGGCGATGGGCGGGGGTAGAGCCCCGCCGGAGAGGCTGGGCGGCCGCCGGTGACAGGTGAGTGCGCCAGCGCGGGTCCCTCAGCGTCTCCCCCTCCCCCGCGATGGTCGCGTCCGGGCCCCCCGCGGTGCCGCGCTGGGCCGTACCACCCGTGCCCGCCGGGAGGGGACCACAGTCCCGAGCCTCTTTCCCTCCCCCCCCCCTTTTCCGGAACTGAATGGGGGTGGCTGCGCGGGGGCGGTGGGACTAGCCCAAAGAGGACGGGGGCGGCGGGCCGTACCACCGGACGGCCGCGGGGGGGGGAGAGCACCTAGTGTGTGAGGGTCTAGGGACACCGACCCTAATAACGTGGGCGGGCTAGGTGTGTGTGTGCGGGGGGGGGGGGGGGAATCTCATGCCTAGTATGCGAGGACGGAACCTCTGAAGGGGCCCACCACGTCGTTCCTACAGTGTTTTTTTTAGAGGGATGGGGGGGGGTGTCTGGAGCGTGGCCTATACCACGGGTGGCCATGAAGGGGGCCGTCTGGATTATACCAACAAGGCTGGGGGGGGCGTCCTTAGGACCCAGCGCCGCTTTGCGAGGGGGGGCGCAGGGATGTTTTTACTCTCTGAAGGACGGGGCACTGACGGGTGGGGAGATCAGGACCGGCACCAACGGGCGTCAGGGATGTACTTGGGGGCTCCGTGCTGCCGAGCCGTGTGGGGCACTTCTGTTTCCTGTAGTTTAATGTGTATCGGTGGGCGTTTACACGGAGCTCACCCTTAATTTGGGTGGTTACTAGGCTGCTTTGAACCCTAGGCCTGGACTGCCCTGGGCTCCTTTTAGAACCCTCTCAGATTATTGACTTGGAGGTGTGGGATATCCTTTTGGCAATGGATGCCAGCCTTTGACATCTCTTCCTTCCGGGAGGCGGAAAGGTACGTCTTAGAAGTCGCTGAAAGTTGTCTGAGCTTTAGGCTCCCTGTTATGAAGGCGAGAAGGGCATTGGGCTTGGATTTGAGGAGTTGTGTTCCTCTCTCCTCCCCCCCCCCCCCCCCCCCCCACCAGTTGCTTGTTGAGACTTGACAGGAAGAGTGTTTGGAGGGACAGTTCTCCCTCAGGGCAAGGTAGTTGAGATTCCGAGGTCCCATTCCTCTCATTTTGAGACCTCTTGGGATTCAGCAAGAGGCCTAGGCTGGAGTAATTAATCCGGGTTGTGGTTGGGCTGCTTTTCAGCGTTGTCCACTCTTCCCAGAGTAACAGTTGGAGATGAATCTGTTTCTGATCTAGGTGGGCAGTGGGTGTGAAGGGGACCAGGCACCCACCGAGATAACCACAGGCTCCTCCATCCCCAGCATCCGGGCTGTTTGTGTCTTCAGTTACCAGCCCAGCAGCCCTTCATGTTTATGCTCAACTGTTGAGCGATAACAGTTGGCCTGTCCTACGTGAGGCTGATCACTGTTTTCCCAGCTGTTCCTCTCTGCATGGGCTACAGGAGCCCAGAGGGGGCTTCCCCCACCCCCAGCCCAAGAAGGAAGGCTGCTCTGAAGGACTCAGGCCAGTCAGATCCCCCGAAGTGGTTTCTTTTGTGGTTTCTGGGCTGCTGCTTGGAGCTACCAATCCTAGAAGCACATGACCAGTGCCCCTGCTCCCTTGGCCAGCTTGTGACCTTGGCTTACCCTGTAACCTTCGCTCTGAGTCTGGTTTTCCCGGAGGACTGGCTGTAGTCCCTGATTGACCCAGCTGATGGGGATGGGGATGAGGTCAAGAGGGCGCACTGTCCCCAAAGCCTAACGCCATTCCTGGAGAGACAGATCCCTGGGTCCTTAGAGGCAGTGTGTTCTCCAGCTGTTAGCTCCTGTTCACCTGATGGAGTCCACCGCATCAATAAAAACAACCATTGAAACCAACAGCCAACCTTACCTGAGTGCTTCCTGGGGGCTTGACACTTGACACTCACCTCACAGGTGAACTGCCCAATATCCTAGGTGAGGAAACTGAGGCACACACACATTTCCAGAGTGAGTGACTAGCAAGTGTTTATTGGGCATTTGGCCCATGGTTGGCACATGCAGGCTTCTTCACACATGACTGAAGCCTCAAAACATACATAGAATTTCATTTACAGAGCCCTGTGAGTGACGTCAGAGTGTGATACCCATTTTACAAATAAGGCTACCTAGGCACTGAGCTAAGACGGTGGTTTTGTTTGGGACCTAACACTATGCCTGGCTCTGGGCTTGGAGCTTTATCCACAATTTGTTTCTCTTACTTTTCTTTTTTTTTCCAGAGTCAGAAATTGAGGTCTGGAGGAATTATCTTTTTCCATGTCTTATCAGACTATTGGAAGCCAGGCTGGGGATTGAACCCAAGCCCATTAAGTCCTGGTGTCGTACAATCTTTCTTTACCAGGTCTCAGGCCTGGTGTGACCTGTCCTCTTAACCTCTTCCCTGGTCACTTCCTTCCCTCAACCTGAGCCTGAAGATGCTGAGTGCTTTCTGTCCTGTCAGTGGCTAGTTCAGCACTTCTGTGCTTTCTGGGAAACTTGGGGTCTCCTCCAAGTTGAGAGCGTTTTTCTTCCTGAGCAGATGCTTTTAAACCTGAGCTCTACCACACCTCACCCCTTTTAATTTTTATCTTATTTTCCAGGTATGGTCTTGCATTTTTGCCCAGGGCCAACCCCAGACCTTGATCCTTTTGATCTTGTCTTCAGTCGTTGGGATTACAGTTGTGTGGGGACAGGAGCCAATGGGAAGGCCACACAGGAGTAGCAGGGAATGACACAGCCATCATGGACCAAGCAATGCTACAGGCAGGATAGTGATATATTCTGGTGCTTTCCCCTGGGGGCTGTGTGAATGCAGCCACAACATTGCCTCTGTCATGGGTTCTGCAGCTAGCTGTAGGAGTGAGTGAATTAATACACAAGAAGCTCTGAAGTGTCAGTGGGCAGTTACACCATTTCTTTTATTGGGGGGGGGGGCTGTCCGGTCGTGGGGCCTGAACTCTGGGTCTGGGCGCTGTCCCTCAGCTCTTCAGCTCAAGAGGAGCACTCTACCTCTTAAGCCACAGCGCCACTTCTGATTTTCTGCTGCCTAATTGGAGATAAGAGTCTCATGGACTTACGTGCCCAGGCTGGCTTTGAATCATGATCCTCAGATCTCAACCTCCTGAATAGCTAGGATTATGGACATGAGCCACCGGTGCCTGGCTTGTCTTTTTTTTTCTGCTAGTCCGGAGGCTTGGTCTTAGGTCCTGGGCACTGTCCTTGAGCTTCTTTTGCTCAAGGCTAGCACTTTACCACTTGAGCTACAGTGGCACTTTCAGCTTTTTCTGTTTATGTAGTACAGACCCAGGGCTTCATGAATGCCAGGCAAGCATTCTACCACTAAGCCACATTCCCAGCCCAGCATAACACATCTTCATCAATAACATCCTCCCCACCCCCACTCCCACCCCCACCCTCTCACCCTGTCCTGAGGCTTGGACTCAGGGCCCCAGTGCTGTCCCTGAGTTGCTTTTGTTCAAAGCTAGTGCTTTACCACTTGAGCCACAGCTTCACTTCTGGCTTTCTTTGGTAGTTTAGTGAAGGTAAGAGTCTCATAGCCATTCCTACCTGGGCTGGCTTTGAGCAGTAATCCTCAGATCTCAGCCTCCTGAATAGGATTACAGGTGTGAGCCACCAGTGCCAACAATAGCTCTCCATTTCAAGTCTCCTACTGTAGCTCCTGGAGTAGCCAGGAGGGGGAGAGTAGGCATGGCAGCCCTTGCATGAGTTATGGGTTTGGTCCTGAAATCACTGGAGCTCAGAACACCATCTGTTGAGTGTTGAGTATTACATCAAGTGCTAGACATGTGGGGTACACACAAGTGTACCCTTGCAGAGCTGAGGGAGAGCAAAGAGGTAGACTAGGTGAGAGGGTGAGGAGGTGAGTGCCTGGCAGGGAATTCAGAGCAGGAGGGGACTGCCAGGAGCATCTGTACACGTAGGGCTGCTCCTGACGGGCAAGGTACGCAGACAGTTATGTGGGAGCAGTGGGACAGGCTCACTGAGGTGTGTGTAGCTGGGCAGAGCCAGCGGGAACAGCTGGGGCCTAGGGCCCCAACAACCTTGTCGACTGTGGAGGAGTTTGGATTGGGCAGATTTCAGGTGACTTGGCCCTGAAGGGTCTTGGCTTCTTAGGGGCACTGGATTTGACCTTGCTTGGGCTGGAAGTTTCCAATGCCTTCCACTTCCCCTTTGAATGAAATCACTGGGCAGAGGCTCCGAGACCCCCCTCTCTCTGCTGTGGTTTTTCTCACGGTTCCCCTGAGCAGGGGGTGGAGGGTAGGGGCTGTTGCCCTTAGGGAGAAAGGCAGCTGGAGGGGGGTTTAGTGGACTGACTTTGCTGTCCAGCCCTGCCAGCCGCACTGATGACAAGAACAGAGCAGAACAACAGTCCCACCGATAGCAACCGCCCAGCGACTGCTCTAGAATGGAAGGCCTGGGTCCTGGGGCTTGCCTTCCAGCAAGGACTGCACATCATGTTGGGGTTGATAATGTCCTGATAATGGTGGTGGGGGTGGGGGTGTCCTGGTCTGGCTTGGGCAATCAGGGAGGCCTCTCTGGGGAGGTGACCCATGGACAGGGCCTGAGGGCCATGGAAGATTATTGTAGGTAGGTCTTAAGTGAAGATCTTATGGGCTTGAAGGAACTGTTGTCACTTGGGTGGTGACAGCCTCTGAAACCAGTGATGGGTCTCACTTCCTAAGCTTAGCACAGTAAGCAGAAGGCTAGTATTTGTTTCTCCCAGGCTCGGTCTCATCTGGGGTGCTATCCTGAAAGGAGTGCCCTCTCTGCCAACATGAGGCTCTAGAAGTCCTCCAGGCTAGATTGGCAAGTACTGCCTTCTGCTCTTGATCTTGGACCATGGAGGACGACAGTCACCCCTCCCTGGGCCTCTAGCCTCTCAGGGCTCTCGGCAGAAAGCCGGCAGCCACTAGGCATCTGGGCTGAGTAGTGGGGTGGTTCTGTGGCGGGCTCTTCTGGACAGTCAGCCAAGCAGTAAGAGGCCCAGCTGGGGGAGCAGCAGGCCTGGGAGCCGGACCAGGAGGACGGAGGGAGGGAGCAAGTGTGGGTGGGGCCTGGGGTGGGATCGAGGCCTGTCCCCCTGAGGCAGGACCTGCTGCCAACTCGGCAGGCACCCACAGCAGGGCCCGGGTGCTGTGGGTGAGCTGAGCAGGACTGCAGGGCCGGGCCAGCCGAGGAGCCTCCGTGGCAGAGGTCCCTGTCGAAGTTCCTCCAGCCCAGCCACCCTGGCAGAAAAGCTCATCCACAGACGTTGTTTCTAAGGGTGAGGCCAGAAATCCCAGCCTTCCTTGGTTTGCCACCTGGGGCCCCTTTCTGAGCTGTCTATAGCAGCTGCCACTGCCAGGTCCCCTCCTGGCCTGCTCCCAGGCTCCTTAGGGGCAGTTGATCATTAGCCTGCCCTCACTCGGCCTGGCCTGCCTAGTGACCCAGGCGCCCTGGCTGATGGGTGGACAGCCCTTCTGGCACCCCACAGGTGCCATGGAGCCCCACTTCTCCTGGGTGCAGCTTGATTGCTTGAAGATGATAATGCTGAGCAGGGCTGTGGGGGAGGGGGTTAGAGAGCCTGCCTCCAAGTGGGCAGGCAGGGGAGCGGGGTGAGCGTGGGGATCAAGGACAGCCTGTGTGTGGTTGGCAGGGTGGGTTCCTGATTGGAGTACTGGATGTGTGAGGATTCTGCTAGCTGAGTTCCTTCCCAGGTGGGTTCTACACTGAGCTGCTGTTAGGGTTCTCTAAAGACCTGTGTATAAATGGGAAACTGAGGCACAGAACATGCTATATAGCATTTTCAGGTTATTCTTTATACTTTTTTTTTTTTGGTGCTGGTCCTGGGCTTGAACTTGAGACCTAGCTGCTGTCTCTGAGATTTTTTTTGCTCAAAGCTGGTGCTCTACCACTTGAGCCATAGCTCCATTTCTGGATTTTTTGGTGGTTCTTTGGAGATGAGTCTCACAGACTTCCCCACCTGGGCTGCCCTCAGATCTCAGCCTCCTGAGCAGCTAGGATTACAGCTGTGAGCCACTGGGCTTGGCTCTTTGTTTTTTGTTGTTGTTGGTTGTGGGGCTTGAACTCTGAGCCTGGGTGCTGTCCCTCAGCTCTTCAGTTCAAGATGAGCGCTTTACCACTTGAGCCATGGCACCACTTCCAGTTTACTGATGGTATATTGAAGATAGGAGTCTCATGGACTTTCCTGCCCTGGCTGGCTTTGAACCACAATACTCAGATCTCAGCCTTCTGAGTAGCTAGAATTATAGGCATGAGCCACTGGCATCTGGCTTGTTTTGTTTTTTGAGCCAGGATCTTTCAGTGTAGCCCAAACTGGCTTAATACTTATGTTCCTCCTGCCGCCGCCTCCCCAGTGCTGGGATCACAGGCCAGCACAAGTCTTAACTCTGTTCCTCTTGGGAGAAGCTCTGTACTCAGCCTCCTGCTGGGCCCTGCTCTGCACCCTGGGAGCTGGGTACAACTGTTTGTCCCCATTTGCGAGGTGAGGAAACAGGCGCAGGGAGGCTGTGGCACTTCTTGGGGTTGTAAGTGAATCCTCTGGGGCCATTCTTCTGACTGACACTGTGGCTGCAGTTCTGGGGTTATCACCATGTGTGTAATGAATTCTAGACAGAGCTGGCTGCAAGTATTTCCCCTGGTGTCCTGGAAAAGCCTCCATTTGGCTGCTGGGGGAGGTGGGTGTGGCTGCTTCCCACCCCTCCCTAATGTGGGCGCAGCCTTGGCCCTGGCCAGCCTTTCCTAGAGGCAGGGGAGAGCTGAGTGTGGGAGGCCGCCCACACGGAGTCCCGACTTCCCGAATGGCCATAGGAGCTGGTCCCTGGCTGGCTTTTGGCCATATCTGTATTGTGGCCCCTATGTCCGTGTCATTTTGGGTGCCAACAGCCTGCCAGAGGGGCAGAGAAGTAGCATTTACCTATGAGAATGGCTGAGGAAGAGACAGTGGGATAGGTAGCTGGACTTGGGGGGCTCCTGATGAAGGAGAAGCTGGCCAGAAAAGGCAGAGTGAAGGGTGCACAGGACAGGGCACCTGGGGAAAGCCCTACTCAGCTGGCTCTGGGGCTAGAGCAGAGGCCATGGGAGCCGGGCTATGGTGAGGAGCCAGGCCAGGGGGGCGGGGGGGGGGAGGGGAACGGACACGTTATCCAGATTCAGGTGGGCCCCTAGACAGGAGCTAGAGAGAAGCAGCTAGGGCAAGAGGCAGGCCAGGTTCCACTTTGGGTCCCCTAGGACTGGCCTGTCTGGGGTGTGCAGTGGAGTTTGCATCTCTGTTTTGCTGCCTCTTTGCTACACAAAGCCTGTGCTATCGCTGCAGGAGCTCAGCACAAGAGCAGTGTTCTGGTTGTCACCCCTCTGGACCTGGACCTACCCTGTGCTGGGACACTGAGAACACGGGACCAGAACTGGCTCTGCTCCTGCTTTGTGAGGCTTCTGGTCCAGAGGACGCCCCATTGCTCAGATAATGGTGGGGCAGCTGGGGAGGGAAGGCTTACTCTGAGGGTCTGCCCTTGTGGGAAAGAGGCAGTCAGGAAGGGCTCCTCTGAGGAAAGGAGGAGTGGGCAAGTTAAGATGGGTGAATAGCAAGCTGGCCAGGGAACGTGCTGAACATGTGCAAAGGCCCAGGGGTCAGGGAAGTAGTTTTCCAAGGGACTAGCAGAAGGGGAACTTGGGTATGTTGGGGCCAGCAGATCCCTGAGGCTGCAGAATGGGCCCTGAGGCAGGTGGGTCCTGGCAGTATCCATAAGAGTGTATGTCAGGCCCCATGGGCATCTGGGAAAGGCCCTGGGTAGTGTTAGAGCTGGGCCGAGAGGATCCTGCTGGCTAAGGCTGGGGCTGCCCATGTGTGTAGCCCACAACAGGAAGCCCAGAATATTGGATGCGGTTTTTGAGGGAGCCATAAAGCCTTGGCCAGGCAGCATGAGGGGGAAGGTGTTGGGGGGCATGGTAGAGAAGACAGGAAAGTCTGTTCTGGAACTTATTCTTGTCCCAGTTTCTTTCGCAGCCTGCCCACGCCTCCATCTCGCCCTCAATCCTACCTGTTCCAGCAGACAGATGGGGCAGGCGGGGCACATGGTGGCGGAGAGAGGCGTCTAGAACGCTACCTTCTCACCAAGGAGGCGGAATAGGTAAAACTTCACATGTTCAGAAATATATAGTGTCTCCACCCACTGAGGAAAGAATGATTTAACCTGATGTGTGCTGGGTTCTTGCTGTGTCCAGATTTGGGGAGGACTTCCGGTGGAAAGTTCAGCCAGTCCTCTGGGAGGGCCATATTCTTTTTTTTTTTTGTCAGTCGTGGGGATTGAACTCTGGGCCTGTGCACTGTCCCTGTGCTCTTCAGCTCAAGGCTAGCACTCTACTGCTTGAGCCACAGCACCACTTCTGGTTTTCTAGTGGTTTATTGGAGATAAGAGTCTCACAGAGTTTCTTGCCCGGGCTGGCTTTGAACCACGATCCTCAGATCTCAGCCTCCTGCGTAGCTAGGATTATAGGTGTGAGCCACGAGCACCTGGCTTAGGACCATATTCTTCCATCTCTAAAGTCCAGGTGAGGTGATATGCCCTGGGACCCACCATGAGCCATAGCGCTTGGGTTGGGACACCCAAGTGCCAGGTCTGCACCACACTGCTGGGGGTCCTGGCCATGTCCTGTACCTCCTGTCTAGGTGGACATGACTCCTGCATTGAAATAGAGGCAAAGTGTCCACCTCACCCGTTGCTGTGCCCTTAATGCTTGCATACACACAGCAGGGACCTGGCACCTTCCATGCCATCCTTTGTCACTGCTTTGTAGTGGCAGGCCCTGTGGCAGGTATAAGGGTCATTTCCTGTAGGACACTGGTTCTCAGTTGGTATGGCTTTGCCCCACAGAAGACGCTTGCTGCTGCGCGAGAAGGGGCCAGGCGGCTGTGGCACAGGCTGGCTTTGCCACAGGCGGCATTTCATCTGTTTTGCCAAAATGTCCTCAGATTGAAAGCCAGTTTACAGGGTGGTGAGTGGCCAGTGAAGGGTTTGAGCAGGTCTTCCTCAAGACCTGGGCGAGAGGCTGATGGCAGAGGCTCCTGGGGTACGAGCCACCCACTCGGGAGCACAAGTTCTGCTCCCCATGGAACCCCAGTCAGCTAGGGGGCGAGGGAGAGCTCAGCGAGCACAGCAATGGAGCCCGGCTGAGTTTGAGCTGTTTTCTATGCGAGCATTCCAGTTTTGCTAAGTACCTACTCTGTCCATCCCAGCAGGGCAGTGGGGGTCCCTGTCCTCCCTGCTCCATGGCAGGGCAGGGCGAGGCCATGAGCAGATGGGTCAGTAAGGTGACGTGGGAGCAGAGTAAGCCTCAGACCTGTGGCCTGTCCACTCCCTTGGGAAGCAGGAGTGAGGGGCATCCAACCTGGAAGGCCTGTGGGAGGAACGGCAGGAGGGTTTGACCCTCACAGAGTCCCAGACTTGAGGAGGGTCAGACTCAACTCTAGGATTCATCTAGGCCCCACAGCCCCTACGTGGCAGAGCCCAGAGGCCCCCTTTTACAGACAAGTGAACTGAACTTTGGGAGGCCTAGAGCCATGTGGTGCTTCTGAAGGGGGTCCAGGCTGCCCCCTGAGAGCCAGCTGGGTGGAAATAAAATGTCTTCAAGCCAGGCACCAGTGGTTCATACCTGTAAATCCTAGCTACTCAGAATGCTGAGATCTGGGGATCACGGTTCAAAGCCAGCCTGGGCAGGAAAGTCCTTGAGACTTATTGCCAATAAACCACCAGAAAACCAGAAATGGAGCTGTGGCTCAAAGTGGTAGAGCACTAACCTTGAGCAAGAGCTCAGGGACTGCTTCCAGGCTCTGAGTTCAAGCCCCACGACCACCCGCAGCACCAACAAAAAAACGTCCTCAAGCATTTTTTTTTTTTGGTCATGGGGACTTGAACTCTGGGCCTGGGCGCTGTCCCTCAGCTCTTCAGCTCAAGGCGAGCACTCTACCGCTTGAGCCACAGTGCCACTTCTGGTTTTCTAGTGGTTTATTGGAGATAAGAGTCTCATGGACTTTCCTTGCCCAGGCTGGCTTTGAACCGTGATCCTCAGATCTTAGCCTCCTGAGTAGCTAGGATTACAGGCGTGAGCCACCAGCACCCGGCTGTATGAATGCCTTGGTTGGTGTATTTTTGCGGGTGGTGAGCTCCTGGTCGGTTACTAGTTTAGGGGTCACTGAGAACATTGCTGCTTGTGATCCTTCTCGTGTTTTTTTTTGTTTTGCTTTTAGTAAACAAATCACTGATTACTGTTGGGGGACTGGAGAATTGCTGGCGTCACAGAGTAGCCATATATTTTTAATTCCTACTGCCAGTTCTGTAGGGTGGTCCAACTACTTTACACTCCCTCCAGTACTGAGTAAAGAGTTCATGTACTCTGCTTTGCCAATAGGTGGCATTGTCAGGGTTTGTTTTTTTGTTTTTTGTAACTGTCTTAGACAAATGGTTTTAATCTGTGCTTCCCCATCCATGACCCATGGGATTGAGTGTTCCTTAATTGAGTGTCTGCTGTGACGCTTTTCACCTTGCCTCCCTGGTGACTCCCATCTCTTCTGCAGCTGCCACTGGTGCACACTCAAACCTGGGCTCTCTAGCAAGCCGTGGGGAGGTGAGGGGTCATGGGGCTCCCTGCTGTGGGGTGCCAGCGCCCAGGCCCCTGTGTGCTGCCTGGCCTCCCCGTCCTCCCGCCTGCGTGTCCTCGGCCCACAGCTCCCCAGCGGGCAGGCCGTCCTCTTGGCTGTGCTGCCCGGCATTTCATCACTCTGGACTGCGTCACAGACACCTCGGCTGAGGCGCCACCCTCAGTGGGAGGACAGGCAGCAGCCAGCAGGGCGCAGGGGATCTTCCAGTTCCTCCCTGCTCTCACCGCCCGCCTGAGCTGCTGTTGCCGCTGCCACCGCTGCCACTGACTTCTTAATCACTGAAAGGAGATCGTAAAAAGTGGCTGTGGTGTGCCAAGCCTCAGCTGGGGCCGCTGCCACTCGGCTGGGGACCCAAGGTAAATGGCTTCCCCTCTCTGAGCCTCTGGCCTCCCCTCTGGTGGGGTTGGGAGTGCTGGCACATTGCCCAAGGCCACCTTGACCACATCTGGCCATACCTGGCTGCCTCTCCATAGCTTTTGAACAGTGGTGATTGTGTGGCTCGGACAGTGGGCTGAGCCCTCAGCCTCAGCAGGCTCTTACGCTGTTGCTGGCCCTGGTACTGCCGGACCAGGGAAGGCAAGGGAGAGTCGAAATGGGACCTGGGCCCCCACTACTCCCCTGGACCCTAGTTCTCCTCAGCTCTTTGGGAAGTGTTCCAAACTGATCTTGTGGCTGGGGAGTGTGGTGTCAGACCCTACCTCACAGCCACAGTCCTGATGCCTGAGTGTCCCCTCCTTTCGCCTGCATCTCTCTCCCTCCTGTTTAGCATCTTGGCATTTGCCATTTCCCTGTCTGAATTTTTAAAAAAGAAATCAGTCAAGGGGCTTGAACTTAGGGCCTGGGCGCTATCCCTGAGCTCTTTTGATCAAGGCTAGCAGCCTATCATTTGGAGCCTCAGCTCCACTTCTGGCTTTCTGGTGGTTCATTAGTGATAGGAGTCTCATAGACTTTCGTGTCTGGGCTGGCATCAAGCCACGATCCTCAGACCTCAGCCTCTTGAGTGGCTGGGATGTGAGCCACCGGTGCTTGTCACGTCTGAATTATTTCCCCTGCATTTCTGCACCCCTCTCTCCCTTGTTTGCTCTAGGTGTCTGCACATGTATCCCCTGCACTTAGTGGCTCATACAGTCCCCTGCTCCCTTCCACCCTTACCCTTTCCCTCTTCCTTCACGTGTGTGTGTGTGTGTGTGTGTGTGTGTGTGTGTGTGTGTGTGTGTCTCAGGGTCTGGAATGGAGACCCATTCAGGGAAGTTTGGTGGCATGACTGATGAGCAGCTGCAGCAGGCCTGGTCATTGCTCAGAGATGTTGCTCCAGACTGGCCTCCTGAAGGTGCATTAATTGGAGTGGCATGAGCCCCCTGAGGGGTTCACAGGCTCTGAGAGCCAGGGGTGTTATAGGGATGGCCAGTTGCCTAGGGGAGCCTATAGAGGGATGAACAGGAGGCTGGAGAGGTGTGGGACTCACTGTCCTGGTCAGACTTTCCATTTTGGAGCAGGTCTCAGCCCCATCAGGCCACCTCCAAGTGATGGATGGGATTGTGTGTGCTGTGCACACTGGCAGTCATAACTGAGATTTGAGCAGAAATGGGTGAGGTCAGACACAGCTTGAGTGTGGGGGTCTGGCATAGTGGAGAAGCTCACAGGAGGCCCACCAGCATTGTGGGGACTGGGCCTGAGCCCAGTGGACAGGAGGCCGCAGGAGCAATGGGTTGTCCCAGACGGCCTTGAGCACTGAGCCCAAGAGTTGGGCTCTTTTGCCAGGAACTGTAGGGGACAAAGGAGACGTTGAGCTGGGGAAGGTCAGGGCCAGGTTAGAGGGGCCCACTAGCTTCAGGGGTGGGGAACAGAGAAAGGGGTCCAGTGAGGAAGAGGCCAGGGCCCTGCTAGTGCCCATGGGATGCACACATTGGAGGCTGACATCGGTGGGACATTGACAGTCGAAGGCTGTGGTCCCAGGTGCAGAGTGGTGGCCATGCCTGCTGTCCCAGCCCAGCGAGTCGGAGTCCAAATGTGATTCTCACCATCCTGTCTCTCCCCGTCATTGTCCGTCTTGCCTTTCCTCCCACTTCCTCCTGCTTACCGCCCTCCCTTCTGCCGGCCTGGGCAGCCTGCCACCATCACATGCCAGGCAGGAGCATGTCCGGCCCCCCACTCCCCTGGGGCACGGGAGAAAGCTGATGCCTATGGTGTCCCTAGAGTCAGCTGCCACTTCTCTGGGGGCTCCCGCAGCTCCTGACCTGCTGTCCGCAAATAACCCCAGGCTAGGAAAGGCAAAAGGCGCCTTCGGCTCCATGGCCCATGTCCTGGCCCCAGGCTCCAGGTAGGGGCCCAGCTGGCAGCTGCCTGGTGCCCTTCTCCCCTCTGCTCGGGAACCTGAGAAGCAGTGGCCTTGGCGTCTGTCAGTCTGTCGGCTGCTGGCCCCTGAGGACAAGCACAGAGGTCTTGGGGAGAGGACAGGCCCTTTGCTCAAGCCCCTAGGCTGGCTTTTGGGGTCTATGCTCAGCGGCTTGGCTGTTAAGGGTCTTAGAGCTTCCGAGATTCAGGATCCATCGGTTGTTCATGGACTGGCCTGGGAGATAACTAAGGCTGGGGTGAGGTGGGGTGGCCCTAGTGGGCCTCAAAGGTAGTAGGTCGGTGGCTTCATGGTTTGAAAGGGAAGAGAGTGAGTCTACGCACATGCGTGCGTGCAGACGTGGGGGCGCGTGCCTGTACGGGGAGGGGAGGGTGAGATAGATGCCAGTAGCTTTGAGCACACCCACAGTGCCTGAGGCTGTCTGATTCATCCTGGATTACCTCAGCGCTGGGGTATGGGGGTGACGCAGGGGGCGGGGCTGCCGCTACCTTGGTGCTGCCCAGCCAGGAGCAAGGGTGGAGGGCAGGGCCTAGGCCACAGAGAAGTGATTCCCCCCACATTGTGGTCTCTGGGGCCCCAAGAGAGAGCTCTGCCCTTCCCTCTCCCCCTAGCAAGACAGGCAGCCAGAGGGCCTCAGCTGAGGGAGGAGCTGGGGGTCCCTTCCCCTCTGACGCTCCCCTCTTGTCTTGCAGCCTCTACTCCATCCACAGCGCCTCCTGCATGTCCTGCTGCCCTGAGCTGTCCCAAGCTAGGTGACAGTGTGTCACGCTGCCACCATGAACGAGGTGTCTGTCATCAAAGAAGGCTGGCTGCACAAGCGTGGTAAGGGGCTGTCACTGCCCACCAGACTGCGTGTCCCCCCCTCCCTTGCACCCTGCTCTCCTCTATACCCTAAGGGGCAGAGGGGCAGGGCGATGCAGCCTAAGGAACCGGCGAGGGCAGCCCCAGGCCATTTGCCACCTGCATGCCACCTGCGTGCCACTCCCTGAATCTCTCAGAGTCATCCAGAACAGAGCTGTAGGTCTCCCCGCTCTGAGTCTCCAGACCTGCCGAGAGAGGGGTGACACGGCCAAATGGCAATCATGGAGTGTCTTGAGTGTCCTGGGACATCCCGGCACCTCCTGGAGGTGACACTGCAGAGGGCAGCAAGGACAGAAGTGAGTGAGGGGGCATGTAACATGAGGTGGAGAGAGCGCCATTATGGAAAGTCACAACTTAGAGCAAGGGGCTGGAGCCATGTGCTGCTGTGAGGTGCGCTGAGGTACCTGGGCAAGCTCAGAGCCTGGCAAGGGTGCCCAGAGAGGGCCAGCAAGGACAAAGGCTTGGAGGTAGGTGTGTGCCTGCCGTTTCTAGGAACAGTGTGGCTGGAGCAGTGTGAGCAGGGGCAAGGTGCAGGAGGCCAGGCAGAGCAGTGACTCGGAGCCAACAGTTTGGAGCCCTGCGGGCCATCGCTGGACCTTGGCTTCACAAAAGCCCAGGGTGCTGGGGGCCAGGCTGGACTCGATCCAGATGTATTGATGGGGAATATAAGGACCAGTGACTTCCTGGGCAGGAAAGTGCATAGATTTTGAGATCCCAAGGCTGCCTGTCCACCGGGCCAGCTGCTATGTGACACTGACAAGCAGATAAGGGAATGCTGCAAACCGGCCTTGTCCTGGGTCTGGGGAGCCATTGCATTATTCTGCAAACGTGTACTTGCAGGCAGCTCCTATGGGCTGGGCACTGCCTTACAGGCAGGCCCGCCCGGTATCACCTTGACATTGGGTCCTGATGGCGGAGTAGTGGCTTCCTGTATCCATGGTGAGGGCAGGCATCACAGAGTAAAGGCCTCTGGAGGTGGGAATGAGCTTGGCAGTGCGCGGAGAGAGGACACAGCTGGGGTGTCGCGAGGGGACCGGGTAGCAGCAGAGCAGAGGGTTGATGGGGGACCACACCTCCCCACGTAGAACAGCAGGAGAGCTGCTTCCTGCTGATATTCCTACACCTCAGTCTGGGCTCACACTGAGCCAGGGTTCTAAGCTGGCCTCGGCCACTTGCCCTCAGTGTGATGGCGATCTGTGCAGTGGGTTAGCAGCCTGGCCTCCTGACCTGCTCAGCACCAGGAGGGCAGGATTCCCGCATGGCTGGAGCACCCCAGGGTCTCCTCAGGAAATGTGAATGAGTTCTTTAGTGACTGGGGTTGTGTGGTGCGAATAGCTTTGGGGTCCAAAAGGTTCTGTGGCTCCTGTGCCTCAACTGTGTGCTGTGGGGCAGAAGGCCTGGAGGCTGTTGGAGAACTGCTGAGGGCGGGGCATGGCTCCAGCTGAGACCCAGCAGTGGCAAGGGAGGGGCCTGGCCTCTCCTACAGCATCACTGCCTCCAGACCACAAGCCTAGCCCTGCTGCTGAAATGACCCAGCCTGGACACCCCTGTCCTGGCCTTTCCCTGCCTCCCTCCCTCCCCCTTCCCTTCCTCTTCTTCCTGCTTCCCTCTCTACTTCCCTCCCTCCCAGGCTTCCTTGATGCTGTAGCTGGCAGAGGTAGTCTGAACAAGTGGGCCATGCTGCTCTTGGCACCTGTGCCAACCACCCTGCTCCTACTGGCAGAAATAATTTCTGCACTGGTTTATTGAGTTTCCACCCTGTGCCAGGCCCTGAGCTCCTGAAGAGCCCCCTGAGAAATGGGTCCTTGTGATATGCCTCTGTGTGTCTGTGTGTGCGCGCTCGCGCATGCACGCTCCTGCGTGTACCTGTGTGTGTCTGTGTGTGTGTGTGTGTGCGCGCGCGCTCGCGCATGCACGCTCCTGCGTGTACCTGTGTGTGTGTGTGTGCGCGCGTGCGCACGCACACTCCTGCGTGTACCTGTGTATGTGTGTGTCTATGTGTGTCTGTGTGTCTGTGTGAGAGACAGTGAGCAGGTGCTTGAATATTTACAAGCAGGACAAAGGGAAGGGATCTTGGGGTGGTTGGAGGGTGGGACAGCACCTGTGCCCCAGCTGGCACAGTAGTTTGGTATTTGCACTGCCCACACAGCTGTGGGTGAATCCCAGCCCATGGGACTCAGCCTTACAGGGCCACTGGGCCACATGCATTTGGAGGCCTGGGCCTCCCCTGGCCAGTGCTGAGCTGCCCTGGCCAGGATAGCTTGCTGCTTGCCACATGCTGAGGCAGCTGGTGCCCTGGGGCACTGCCACGGTGCCTTCCTGCCAGGCTTGGCCTGTGGATCACTCGATCAGTTCAGTGCCCCCACCTGCGTCAGCAGGGGCCACCTTAAGGGCTTCCCTGGAGTGGCCCTCATAGCCCCTCCCGCCCGGCACCCCATGCGTCACCATCACAGGAGCTGCCAGTGGGTGACCTCCTCCCCTCCCGCCTTGTTTCAGGTGAATACATCAAGACTTGGAGGCCCAGGTACTTCCTGCTGAAGAGCGATGGATCCTTCATTGGGTATAAGGAGAGACCCGAGGCTCCCGACCAGACCCTTCCTCCCTTAAACAACTTCTCCGTTGCAGGTATGTATCGGAACATGCAGGTCAGAGTACTAAAGCCAGTGCAGGGCCGGCAGGTCTTGGGGACATGTGGGTGGGTCCTTGACCTGGAGCCCATCTTGGGCCTTCTGCCTCTGCTGTCAGCCCTGCAGGGCTGAGCTGCTAGGTGGAGAGCAAGAAGCAGAGAAAAGCCAGGGTTCCTGTGCCCACCCAGCCCAGCCTCCATGCCCCCACTCTGTCCTCTTCCACTCCAGTTCTGGCTGCTCTGTCTTCTCCCTCTGCCTCTAACCTAACAGAATGACAGCTTTCACTCAGCTGATCACAGGGCCAGCTATTGACAGCCAGACCAGCTTTACAGACCCACAGCTCTTGATGGAGCCTGACAGGGCTGCTCCAGCCCCTGCCGCCTCCTTCCCTGCTCCCCAGAACCTGGGTGCCTGCCCTTGCCCTACACACTTCCGCACAAAGCCTTTTCTGGCAGTGTTCTCCACGTGCCCATGGCCACGTCCCTGGCAGCTTCTTGAACAACTTTCCCTGGAAAGGAAGGGGTCTCTGGCTGCCTCATGCTCATGATGTCCCAAACTGACCCAGCAACCTCCCATCTCAGTGGTGGGGATTGCCCTGTTGCACCAGAGTCCACCTTCAGGGCCTAGGCCTGGCCCTCCAGCCTGCTGCCTGTCCTTCCCTGGCCCTGTCCACCCTGTCCTTTGAACTCAGATCTGCTCAGACGGCCTCTCAGTCTCTAGTCCTCTCTTCTGTCTCTTTCTGACCCCATCCCTTCCATGGCTCCCTGATACCTGAGGACTCTCCAGGATTGGCTCTGTTTTCCCTCTGATAGCGGGCTTCTGGGTGACATGGCCTCCTTTCTTGGAGCTACACTCCTTGATGCCCTAGGCTCTGTCAGATGCCTCCTCTGGCTTTCCCTAACCCTGCCCTCCTGGCTGAGTTGTTATTGCTCTTTTGGGCACCTCCCACACACACTGTATCTCTGAGGACAAGGCCAGGGCTTTTGTCACTAAAGGGCCCCTGACACCATTTGGCTTGGAGCTGGGCACACAGGAGGTAGCTTGGGGACGGTGGTCCTGCCAGAGCTACATTCTTGCTCTTCCCTCATCCTTCATGCAGAATGCCAGCTGATGAAGACTGAGAGGCCACGGCCCAACACCTTCGTCATCCGCTGCCTGCAGTGGACCACGGTCATTGAGAGGACCTTCCATGTGGACTCCCCTGATGAGAGGTGAGGGGCTCTGTGCAGCTTCCCTTTGAAGGCCAGGGCGGGGGTGGGGGGTGGAGGGGGGGGCCGCACGGGGGAAAGGAGATGGATGGTCAGATTTCCACGGTCCTCACATAAGTCGTTTGTCTCCAGCCCTTGTGGTATGGAGTTACAGGCAGAGCTGGTTTGGCCATGATCTCTTCAAAGGGTCTGCAGGTCCCATGAGCCTCTGTTTGTTTCTAAGTAGTGAACCAGAATCAACTATAACGATCCACTTAATAGTGAGAGCTGGTTATTGAGACTGATCTGTCCTCAAGTCAAACTGGCCAGGCTGTGTCTCAGGGGCGGCCTTAGACTGTGTGGGACCCGGCGCCATGCCCAGACACACTTCGTGGGAGGGATGTTTGGCAGAAGCCTCATTCATCCATAGAGCTCTTCCCCTCCCTGCATCCTCCAAGAGGAAGTCCTTTTTGCTTTTTAATTGTGTTTTGGGGAGGATCTTCCATCTATTCACAGACTGTCTGGAGCATGATCCTCCTATTTAAGCTTTTTATAGCTGGGATGACAGGTGCATACCACTGTGTCCAACTGGTTGATTTAGATGAGATCTCAGTAACTTTTTGCACAAGCTAGCTCCAAACCATGATCTTCTTGTCTCTGCTTCCTGAGTAGCTGAGATTATAGGTCTGAGCTACTGCTTCCAGTCCCTTTTGTTTGGCAGTCCTAGGCCCTGAACTCAGAGCCTGGGTGCTGTCTCTGGGCTTCTTTGTGCTCAAGGCTAGTGCTCTACCGCTTGAGCTACAGTGCAACTTCTGGCTTTTTTTCCAGCCCTAAGGCTTAAACTCAGGGCCTGGGCACTGACCCTGAGCTTCTTTTGCTCAGGGCTAGTACTCTACCACTTGAGCCACAACTCCACTTCCGACTTTCTGTGTATATGGTACTGAGGAATCGAACCCAGGGCTTCATGCATGCTAGGCAAGCACTCTACCACTAAGCCACATTCCCAGCCCAACTTCTGCCTTTTTGTGAATAGTTTATTGGAGATAAGACTCATAGACTTTTCCTGTCCTGGCTAGCTTCAAGTTGAAATCCTCAGATCTCAGCTTCCTGAGTAGATAGGATGACAGGTGTGAGACACTGGTATCTGGCTTCAGGCCATTTCTCTCTCTCTCTCTCTCTCTCTCTTTCTTCTTTTCTTTTTTTTTTTTTTGGTCGGTTGTGGGGCTTGAACTCTGGGCTTGGGCGTTGTCCCTGCACTCTTCAGCTTAAGGCAAGTGCTCTACCACTTGAGCCACAGCGCCACTTCTGGTCTTCTAGTGGCTTATTGGAGATAAGAGTCTCACAGACTTTCCTGCCCGGGCTGGCTTTGAACCGCAATCCTCAGATCTCAGCCTCCTGAGTAGCTAGGATTACAGGCATGAGCCACCAGTGCCTGGCTCTTTTTTTTTTTGTCGGTCATGGGTCTTGAACTCTGGGCCTGGGCACTCTCCCTCAGCTCTTCCGCTCAAGGCAAGTGCTCTACCACTTGAGCCACAGCCACTTCCGGTTTTTTGGTGCTTAATTGGAGATAAGAGTCTCACAGACTTTCCTGCTTGGGCTAGCTTTGAACCATGATCCTCAGATCTCAGCCTCATGAGTAGCTAGGATTACAGGTGTAAGCCACTGGCACCTGGCTTTCAGCCTGTTTATTGGTGATTTGAACTCAGCCTTGCACTTGCTAGAAAGGAAGCTGACCCAGCAGCCTCCCATCTCCATGGAGGGGATTGCCATGTTGCACCAGAGACCACCTGAGGTATGCCTGTATTTGTGTGTGTGTGTGTGTGTGTGTGTGTGTGTGTGTAAATTTTAGTAGCTAGATTTTAGCTACTAGTTTAGTAACTAGTTTTCCTAGTTTTTTAAAAAAACATTAATTATTAAAGAGCTAATCGTTCATCATTAAAATAAAGTCTTAGTGAAATGCCATGTGCTGCTACCATTTCCCTTGAATGCAGGCTGATCTGTGTGGTGAACTCTTTCTTAGGTGTGGCATTGCTGGGGTCACAGGAATGCACATTGGATTTTAAGAGCCTTATGTCTCCAAACACTTGGATTTTTACCTATCTGAGCAATAGCAGTGCTGGCTCTGCAGGCCCTCCCTTTCTGTGTGGATGAGCCATGAGTTTCCTTTTCTGAACTGTCTGTTCCTATAGCTTATTTCTGTTTGGTATTGAACTTTTTCTAGTTCTTACCTAAAAGTTCTCTGTGCATGAGGGTACTAAGCCTTTTGTGGCAGGTGGCAAATGTGTCTGTTCTCTATCCTTTCAGACATTGCTTCAAAGAACACTTTTTTTTTTTTTTCTGTCGGTTGTGGGGCTTGAATACTAGGGCCTGGGTGCTGGCTGCCCTTGAGCTTTTGTGCTCAAGGCTAGCGCTCTACCACTTTGAGCCACACTGCTACTTCTGGTTTCCTGGTGGTTAATTGGAGATAAGAGTCTCATGGACTTTACTGCTTGGACTGGCTTCCAACCACAAGCCTCAGATCTCAGCCTTCTGAGTAGCTAGGATTATAGGCGTGAGCCACCAGTGCCTGGCTGTAAAACACTCTTGTAGGGCCTTAGCTGTGTCCAGGCAGAGCCCTAATAGGGCCATTGAAGTGACCGTGGTGCCCTGGAGGAACTGTCCTGTCTGCCATCCTTTCTATGCCACCTGCGTGTTGCCTTTTGAGCCAGTGTGGTCAGTAGCTACACTGTAGTTCTTGAGCCTGCACAAAACAATCATAAGAGGCTGCCACGGGCTGGGAAGGTGGCTCAGTGGTAGAGCGCTTGCCTTGCATGCCTGAGGCCCTGGGTTTGATTCCTCAGCACCACATAAGCAAAAAGAAAAAAAAGCTGGAAGTGGCACTGTGGCTCAAGTGGTAGAACGCTAGCCTTGAGCTGAAGAGCTGAGGGACTGTGCCCAGGCCCAGAGTTCAGGCCCCATGACTAGACTCCCCCCTTCCCCCCCCAAAAAAAAGAGGCTACCACAGTGTCTACTATAATTATTGTTGCATGTCTCCCCAAGGTTAAAAATAGTCTCACCCACTGAGGGGAACAGATTTAACATCTCAGGCCAGCTGAGGTGTTAACCCGTTGAAAACGAAGGGACAAAAGCACTGGGCTGCCAGTAAAAGCAACATCTGCATGAACAGATGCTTAGCCCTGGGGATTTATTATTTACTTATCTATAGTATTTATATAGCCTGGGGATTTATTACTTATTGGGCTGGTTTTGCAGGACAGATCAGAGCTGGTCCTGGAGTTAGGCAGGAAGAAGGAAAAAGAGGGAAGGAAGCCAGGCACTGATGGTTCACACCTGTAATTCTAGCTGCTCAGGAGGCTGAGATCTCAAGATCATGGTTTAAAGCCAGCTCTGGCAGTAAAGTTCATGAGACTCTTAATCACCAGAAAACCAAAAGTGGAGCTGCCGCTCAAAGTGGTAGAATGTTAGCCTTGAACAAAGGAGCTCAGGGATAGTGCCCAGGCCCCGAGTTCAAGCTCCACAACTGACAAAAAAAGAAAAAAACGGCTAGGAAAGAGAACTGACCAGCATCTGCAGAGGCCTGGCGGGGATGCAATTTCTGTGTCCCCAGAAGACAAAGGGGCAGGCATGTTGGGGGAGAGGAAGCGGAGGCGTTTGAAGCTGGCCTTGGCCCTCAGATGAGATCCTTGCAGGGCTTGGCAGACATGGGGTTGTTAGAGATTCAGGAGATGACAAACAGGAAGCAATTGAGCGGTACCTGGCACACAGTGTGGGAGCGGGGCAGGGAGTGGGCCAGAGAGATGACCTAGCTTCCAGTTTTGCAAGGCAACTTGCCCTTCATTGTGGGGAGAATGCTGTTGCTAAGACTTGAGGGATTGGGGAGCCCCCCTGCCTTCCTCTTTTGTTCAGCCCTCTGCTGTCACTGGAGAGAAAACTGCCTGGACTGCTGAGAGATCAAAGCCCAGATTCCTGCCCTTAGCCTGGGGGAGGCAGGAGCCAGGAAACACAGCTAGGGGAGCTTCCATCAGCTCTGCCCAGGGCCGGCTCTTGCTGTCCTGTGGTCCTGCCTCGCCTAGGTCCAGGGCTGCTATCTGCTCAGCCCATTAAACATGGGGGACAGGCAGGCAGAAGGTGCCCTGGTGGCTGGATGCTGCCCAACACTGTGGCACCCTTGGTGCTGGGGTGCTGGTTGCTTCTCTGACCTTCCACCAGGTAGCAAGTGACTCTCCCCCCACCCCACTCCTGTCTCCACCCTACTGCCAGCTTGTGTCCCATTTAGAAAAATGGTGGGAAGTATGAACAAGGCCCCTGGGTCTGCATGTATTGCTGCCCTTCGCCTCATGTACACTTTCACACCGAACTCTTGCTGCAGTTTTTCTTTTTTTTGGTCAGTCATGGGGCTTGAACTCTAAGCCTGGGCTCTGTCCCTCAGCTCTTCAGCTCAAGGTGAGTGCTCTACCACTTGAGCCACAGTGCTGCTTCTGGTTTTTCTGGTGGTTAATTGGAGATAAGAGTCTCACTGCAGGGTCTGGCTTTGAAGTGCGATCCTCAGATCTCAGCCTCCTGCGTAGCTAGGATTACAGGTGTGAGCCACCAGGGCCCCTCTCAGTTTTTCTTCTTGATGCCAAGCCTTGAACTTGAACTTGGGCACACACTTTATGACAGCACTCCTAGTGTTTGTCCCTGTGAGGTCATGTTGTCATTACCACGCTGGAGACAGTGATGCAGGCGCAGCCACATCCCTGTTGAAAATGTCTGAAGCTGAAATGCTCAAAAAGCTATAACCTTGAGTGTCTGCAGGGTGCTCAAGGAGTTTGAATTTCTAGTTAGAAATCCTCAAACAACTGCAAAGTCTGTGCACATATTCCCAAATCTGAAAAACTCCCAGGATGAGAAACACTTCAGATCCCGAGCATTTATATAAGGTGCTTAGCCTATTACATACATACATACATACATATTTTACTAATATTCTAAGTCCATGCCACTACCTGAATTTCTCTGTTCTCTTCAAAATATTCTTTTTCTTTTTTTTTTGCTGGTCCTGGGGCTTGAACTCTGGGCATGGATTCTGTCCCTGAGCTACTTTTTTTGCTCAAGGCTAGCATTCATGGACTTTCCTGCCTGGGCTTTGAATTGTGATCTTCAGATCTCAGCTTCCTGAGTAACTAGGATTACAGGCCTGAACCACTGGTCCCTAGCCGAAATCTTCTTTAACCAGGATTTATTCAAGGTACCTCTAACCTGTTTGCTTCAGTGTTTTGCCTGTTTTTCCTCCAAAGACACTGCTATTCTTGGTCGGCCAGTCTGTCATCTTGTAGAATGTTCTGGATGTGACTCTTCTTCTTTTGTTTCCTCCATTTCCTAGGGAGTCATGTCTATAGCAGGGGAGGCAGCCTTCAGCCCTACCTCTCTACTTGGCAGATAAAGTTGTGTTGGAATGGGACCAGTCCATTTGCATGTGCATTGTCTGTGGCACTTTTGTCCTGCGGTGGCAGATTTTATAGTAGCCGTGAAGGACACATTGTGGCCACAATGCCTGAAAATCGGCTCTCCTACTCTTTATGGAAAGTCTTGGCAGCGTCTGCTTGGTGTCACCTTTCTGATGTAATCCCTGGGGCTTAGAACTCTAGAGTGGGGTAGGGCAGGGTGGAGTAGGAAGGGGGGGGCTCAGTGGTAGAGCACTTGCCTAGAGTGTGCAAGGGCCTGGGTTAATCCCTCGAACTGTGGGGAAAAAGAACAAGAATTCGGAATGGCTTTTAGTCCCACTTGGTGTAAAGTTGAGCGTCTGCCATGCTCCTGCCACAGTCCTGTTACCTGCCCCGTGCCACTGGTGCCTTCACTCAGCCTCACGCATCTTCTCTCCCTTAAATCTGCCAAGCACACCCATGCTTTGCCTCAGGGTCTTAGCACTGGCTGACCCCTGTTCCCTAGGATCTCATCAGATGCTGTCTTCTCACCTCTGTTCCCCTTACCCAGCTTTATTTTTCTTTATAGTGACTGTTCACCAAGTCTGGCATTTTATATTTGCTTATTTGTGCCTGGTACATGAATGGGTGTTCAGTACTCAGTTCTCTTTTAGATGAATAAAAATAGTTAAATCTCCTGTGAGCAAGATTGCACAGCCAGGGCCATCTGTGTTCCCAGCCATAAGTGTGCTTCCCAGCTGGAGGAGGTCCCCCGGGGTCACATTTAGATTCTTAAACATGCTAACCACACATGCCACTGAACTATGTCCTGGACTGTGTGTGTGTGTTGGTATGGGGGCTTGAACTCAGGGCCTGGTGTGTGTGTGTGTGTGTGTGTGTGTGTGTGTGTGTGTGTGTGTGTGTGTGTGTGTGTGTGTGTGTGTGTGTGTGTGTTGGTATGGGGGCTTGAACTCTGGGGTGTGTGTGTTGGTATGGGGGCTTGAACTCAGGGCCTGGGCATTGTCTCTGAGCTTTTTCACTAAAGACGAGCACTCTACCACTTGAGTCACAACTCCCCTTCCAGCTTTTTGGTGGTTCATTGGAGATAAGTTTCATGGACTTTCCTGTCCAGTCTAGTTTTGAACCAAAATCCTGAGATCTCAGCTTTCTGAGTAGTGAGGATTACAGGTGTGAGCCACAGTGCCCAGCTTCATATGTATGTGTGTGTGTGTGTGTGTGTGTGTGTGTTGGTCATGGGGCTTGAACTCTGTGCTTAGATGCTGTCCTTGTGCTCTTTAGCTCAAGGTGAGCACTCTACCGCCTGAGCCACAGCGTCACTTCCTGTTTTCTAGTGGTTTATTGGAGATAAGAGTCTCATGGACTTTCCTGCCCGGGCTGGCTTTGAACCGCAATTCTCAGATCTCAGCCTCCTGAGTAGCTAGGATTACAGGCGTGAGCCACCGGTGCCCAGCATTTTTTTTTTTAATTGTCAAGGTGGTATACAGAGGGGTTGCAGTTACATAAGTAAGGTAATAAGTCTATTTCTTGTCAAACTTGTTGCCCCTTCCCTCATTTTTCTCCTACTTTCACTCTTATGTGTTCTTGATGACCAGGGTGAGGCCTGTGGAACTGGCCGTTCACTGCCATGGCTTTCTGATCTTTGGCCAGGTGGGGGGGTCAGTACTTGCCCTGGGGACCAGTCCAGAGTTGGGGGGTTGTTGGAGATAGTTAGGCTGCAGCTTTGGGTGGGAGCTCCCCTCTGCCCCAGACACTGTGTTGCAAGCCCTGGAGGAGTGTCCGGGACAGAGGCCCTTGCTTTTTCTCTGGAATTCTGAGTGCTGAAACCTTACAACCTCAGTCCAGTTGGAACTGGATTGGTGGCTGGCAAGATGAGAGCCACAATCACCCCCACCTCCTACATCCTGGTGGGGTCTCTGAGTTCTTGTTGTAGCCGGCAGTTCCAGTAGGGGTGGGGGGACAGGTCTGAGCCCCACCCAGTGTCTTCTGTGAAACCAGGGATTTCCCACTGGACTACATGCTGCACCCTGGAGTGCTGGCTTGCTTCTGTCTTGCCTAGTTCCTAAAGGCAGGAGCAGGAAGGGGTGCTTGCTGCACTGCAGACCTACTGTGCACCCCCCAGCTGCTTCCCAGCTGTGTGGTACTCTGCCACGCTTGGTCAGCAGGCTCCCGTGTGGCCTGATATTTTTCTGCGGGACCATCTCAGAATCTGTATGTGAACGAGACTCTTCTTAGATCTTCCTGTTAGGAGAGTTGTGATTTTCTTTTTCAACCACTTTACCCTCAAGGTCATCATTTCATAATTCCTAAGAAAACAGTGGTAGATAAAATAGACTGTTCATGGTCCATGTTACTACCCCACCCACCCTCCCTCTTTCACTTTTTTGCTTTTCGGAAAACAGGAACATTAATACAGGGATGGGTTTAGGTCGTGAGTTGTCCAAAGGGGACATGGGTTAAAGCCAATTGAGCAATGCTGGCTGCAGGCCACGGTGGGGAAGAGGCAGTGCCACTCTGCCTGCTCTGCAGGGCCTCGCTGTGCAGAGGCCCTGGGCCTCACGGGTATGTCTGCCCACATACCTGAGTACCCACTGGATCCTGGGGGCACACCACATTCAAAGCAGATGGAAATCCTTGCCCTCGGGGGCCAGCGTAGCATAGTGGGTGAGGAATGAGGGTTGTAGGTAGTTTGCTGTTGTTCAGCCTGGCATACATATGTATTTTTTGTCTCTGGTCATTTGACCTTGTTAGAACAGTTTGCTAGTGTCAGAAGAAAATTCTTTCCCAGCAATTTTTTTTGTGCTTGTCCTGGGGCTTGAACTCGGGGCCTGGCCACTGTCCCTGAGTGTCTTTTGCTCAAGGCTGGCATTCTACCACTTGAGCCACAGCTCCACTTCTTGCTTCTTGGTAGTTTATTGGAGATCAGAATCTCACAGGCTTTCCTACCTGTGCTGTCTTCGAACCAGGATTCTCAAATCTCAGCCTCCTGAGTAGCTAGGATGACAGGCATGAGCCACCAATGCCTGGCTCCCAGCAACGTTGAAGTCATGAGTGTCAGAGCTAGCTTATGGTTCTCAAGCAGTCTCACTGCTGCTGGGGCCACCATTTGTGGCCGTCCTGGTGTCCTGGTGGGCTATGCCTACACGCGAGTCCTCCAGCTGCTTTGCCTCTTGAATGCTTCCTTTAAAAAAAAAAAAATCCCCCTGTGCCAGTTCTGGGGCTTGAACTCAAGGCCTGGGTGCTGTCCCTTAGCTTTTTTGCTCAAGGCTGGTGCTCTACCACTTGAGCCCCAGGCTCTACTTCTGACTTTTTGCTAGTTAATTGGAGATACAGTTCTCATGGACTTTGCCTGCCCAGGCTGGCTTAGACCTGAGATCCTCAGATCTCAGTCTCTTGAATAGCTGGGATTCCAGGCGTGAGCCACCAGTGCTTGGCCTGAATGCTTCCATTTATTCTTGGTTTTCCTTTGCTGAGCAGTGATGACTTGTAAACTTGAATTTGAGCTTAGGGGAGCACTGGCCTTCCCTCAGGCTCAAGATGGTGTCAGGGTTTATGAGCACCAGCTGCCCCCCCTGACCATTTCTGTTACCTGCTTCCAGGGGTCCTCAGGACGGACCTTTCTGGGAGGTGCTCAGCTCTGTGCCCTCCCTGCACTGCCCCCACTGTGCAGCAGGGGCCCGTGTAGTGCCCATCGGGCCGCGTCAGTTCTGTAGGCCCAAAGGGGCTCTGCAGTCTGCAAGCGCGTTGCGGCGGGGCTGGGCTGAGTGGGGTCTCACCTCGTTCCCACACAGGGAGGAGTGGATGCAGGCCATCCAGATGGTCGCCAACAGCCTCAAGCAGCGGGGCCCAGGTGAGGACTCGATGGACTACAAATGTGGCTCCCCCAGCGACTCATCCACGCCAGAGGAGATGGATGTGGCAGTCAGCCGAGCCCGGGCCAAGGTGGTGAGTGCTGGGGTAGTGGGGCCCGATGACCTGGCTCCCCAGGTTGTGGGTGCTGGAGAGGCAGGGGAGCCTGGTCCTTTAGCCACAGAGCTGAGGGTGGTGTTGGTCAGCACATCTTGCCAGCTGATTGTGGGGTGCTGATGCCCCTTGCTTTTTGCACCGCAGACCATGAATGACTTCGATTATCTCAAGCTCCTGGGCAAGGGCACCTTTGGTAAAGTCATCCTGGTGCGGGAGAAGGCCACGGGCCGCTACTATGCCATGAAGATCTTGCGGAAGGAGGTCATCATTGCCAAGGTGGGCACCCCTGGACCTCAGCCTGGGGCTGTCAGAGACCTGCTAATGCTCCCCACACTGCTGTGTGCCTTAGTGGTGTGGCTCAAGTGGTAGAGCATCGGGCCCCGTGTTTCAGCCTCAGTATCACGAATAACAGAACTGCTCTACACTTCTGACTTTAAGACGGTGCCATGGGCACCGGAGTCTGGCATCGCCCTGCTGAGGGCTCCCACAGCTTGCTTTGCTCCTGCTACCTGTGTAGCTCCTCCTTGCCTGAACTGCACCGCATGGATAGGCGTGGCCCTGGGTCACTCACCTGGGCTCTGTGTCTGCAGGATGAAGTCGCCCACACAGTCACGGAGAGCCGGGTCCTCCAGAACACTAGGCACCCCTTCCTCACCGTGAGTGGCTCTCCCTTCCCAGGCATCAGGACCCCCTGGGTACGGGGGGGTTTGTGGGGGGGAACATCTCCATAGTGGGCAACTTCATGTGAGCAGGTGTGCCTTGCCCTAACTTTATACTGTCAGAAGCAGGTGTGGTCCAAGTGTTGCCCATCAGCCTGGCTCAAGAGGGCTCCCGAGCAGTTAGCTGACAGAGTGAGAGTGAGTGAGTGAGTGTGTGTGTGAGTGTGTATCTGGATGGAGGGAGGTGGGGAGAGAAAGAGCACGTTTAGTGTATTTTGCCACTAAAGCAGAGGAGTGAATTGGTGGCAAAGCTCCGGGTGGTGAGAATGTCCCTTCTGCCCTGGCGGTGCCTGGTCCTGGGCTGAGCAGTCTAGTGCGGAATGGGCAGACCCATCCCTGGCTGGCAGAGCACTCCCTGTGCCCCTTCTTGCCCCAGCTGCCCTGCTCCCTCCCGCAGGCACTCAAGTACGCCTTCCAGACCCACGACCGCCTGTGCTTCGTGATGGAATATGCCAACGGAGGGGAGGTGAGCTGGCCACACCTGTGGCGTGCCTTCCAGGGTGTGTGCGACAGAGGGCTGCCTGGTGACGGCGGGGTGGGGGGATGCTTGCTCAGTGCCTCAAGCACACAGCTATGAGCTGGGACAGAACCAAATCCGGGTCCTGAGGCATGTGGCGCTGGGCAGCTGGCAGTGCCAGGAAGCTGTGTTTGGGGCTCCAGAAACGAACTGCATCACTACATTATGAGCATCTGCTCGCTTTGTCCCATTCCCCCTCCACACTGATGTCCCCATTCCTGCCTGGCCCCTGGTCCCTGTGGAGCAGGGCTGGGGTGCCTGGCTGAGCGTGCCTCGCCCACACAGCTGTTCTTCCACCTGTCCCGGGAGCGTGTGTTCACGGAGGACCGCGCGCGCTTCTATGGCGCAGAGATCGTCTCAGCCCTGGAGTACCTGCACTCTCGGGATGTGGTATACCGAGACATCAAGGTGAGCCCAGCCACCAGCACCAAAGGTCCACTATGTGCCTGCTTGTTGGGTGCACCCTATACTCTCCCACACTGGCCCCAGCGCCCACTGCCAGAGAATGGCAGGATGCCAGGTAGCAGACACCACAATATACCGCACCACCCAGCAGCACAAATAGAAATCCTAGACCCCGTGAGGGGAAGCTGAGCCCATGCGCTGCACATGTGAAGAGGACTGAAGGGGTAGCTTGGGGCGGGGGCAGACATTTGGCTAGCATTGAATCCCTGGGTTCCACCCCCCTCTTAAGAAAAAGCCTATGAAGACAAAGAAGGTTCCAGCTACTTGTAGTGGGGCACATATGAGTCTCAGGTCCTTGACCTGATGGGGTTGCACAAACACAAACATTTCCTTTGTGGTCCACTGGTATGTTTCATAATTAAAAGAAAAATGTGGCTTAGTGGTAGAGTGCTTGCCTAGCATGGGTTCAATTCCTCAGTACTACATACACAGAAAAAGGCAGAAATGGTGCTGTGGCTCAAGTGGTAAAGTGCTAGCCTTGAGCAAAAAAAAGCTCAGAGACAGTGCCCAGCCCTGAGTTCTAAAACTGGCCAAAAGAAAAAAAAAATATGAGCAGTGCAGTGGCTCAAGCTTGTCATACTGCCTACCTGGGTGGCAGCAGTGGGGAATCTGGGTTTAAAGCCAGCTCAGACATTTCATCTCGGCCAGTGGCTGGGCATGTAGCACACGCCTGTCATCCCAGTGAGTGACGCCCAGAAGCACAGAAAGGATGCATCCAGGAAGAGGGACAGGGCCACGCCTGTGTGCTGTGGCCCTCTTGGCCTCTGGAAATGGATACCCAGGAGCCTGTGACGTGGCACCTACCACCCCGGGCCCCAGCCCTGATACCTGGACTTTTCCTGCAGCTGGAGAACCTCATGCTGGACAAAGATGGCCACATCAAGATCACTGACTTCGGCCTATGCAAAGAGGGCATCAGTGATGGTGCCACCATGAAAACCTTCTGCGGGACCCCGGAGTACCTGGCGCCCGAGGTGCCTGGGGCTGGGGGTACAGGAACACGGCTCAGGGCACAGGGACCCTGATGGGGCAGAGCCGCACCCCGGCCCCGCCCCGCCCCCAGCCTCTCCCTGGCCTCTTGTCAGGTGCTGGAGGACAACGACTACGGCCGGGCGGTAGACTGGTGGGGGCTGGGCGTGGTCATGTACGAGATGATGTGCGGCCGCCTGCCCTTCTACAACCAGGACCACGAGCGCCTCTTCGAGCTCATCCTCATGGAGGAGATCCGCTTCCCACGCACGCTCGGCCCCGAGGCCAAGTCCTTGCTTGCCGGGCTGCTCAAGAAGGACCCCAAGCAGAGGTAAGGGCTGGTGCCCGCCCTGCCCAAGCCACCAGCTGCCACTGTCCCCTCAGCCATACCCAGTCATCTGCGCCAAGCGTGTGGCCCCACCGCTGCACCTGGACTCGGCAAACCCTGCCCTCAGCCTTTTCCCTGTACTGCCTTTTACTTATTTTGTGATACTGGGATTTGAACTGAGGGCCTTCTGCTTGCTAGGCAGGTGCTGTACCACCTGAGCCATGTCCCCCTGCCCCTGGACTACTGCTGTATTGGGACACTGAGTCTTGCTTAGGGTAGCTGAGTTGTCTGTGGTCAGGCCACATGCCAAGCCGGCCCTGACCCCTCCCTTTCCCAAGCCTGGGCAAGGGCAGCTGGGAGGCTGCTCAGCGCTAGGTCAGAGCTCCCTGCCTCGCCCTCCTCTGTGAGCCAGTCCATGGCTGGGGCCCTGCAAGCCCAGCTCCTGGAGCCCGCAGCTCCCGGAGGCAGAAGCTCATGGTTGTCTCTGCCCAGGCTTGGTGGGGGGCCCAGCGATGCCAAGGAGGTCATGGAGCACAGGTTCTTCCTCACCATCAACTGGCAGGATGTGGTACAAAAGAAGGTGAGTGCCCCTCGCCTGCCCCCCCCACAGGAACCCTGCAAGGCCTTGCCTGTTCCTGGGGACCTGGGGTTCCTGAGTCTGGGGTGCTCTCCTCTCTCTGCAGCTCCTGCCACCCTTCAAACCTCAGGTCACCTCCGAGGTGGACACCAGGTACTTCGATGACGAGTTCACCGCGCAGTCCATCACCATCACACCGCCGGACCGCTGTGAGTGCCTTGGGCCCCGCACTGCTGCACCCAGCACATGCTGGCAGGCCCTGCTCTCTCTTTGCAAGGCCTGGTGCTATTGTTTTTCTTGGTCTGGGGAGGGTCACAGGGAGCTGGTGGGGCTGGTAGGACTCACATTGGCAGTCTTCCCGTACCTACCTAGGACTGGAGACAGAGTCCACCGGGGAGCTCAGGGCAGCGTGGAAGCCCAGGGATAGCCAGCGGAGGGTGGGGGTAAGTTAGGGACAGGCTGCAGGCCAGATACATTATGGGAACTCCAGGGTTAATGGGGACCTTGTGTCTGGGAGCTAGGAAGGGCTCTGTGGTAAAGAAGGACAGCATCAGGGCTGAAGGTCCCCAGGCTGTGGTAGCCTCTACCACAGTTCTGAGCTAGACCCAGGGGAGGGGACATCCAGGCAGGCCCAGGCCTTCTGACCTGCAGAACATCCCAGGGAAAGGTACCTCACTCTGCAAGCTGGGCCTGCAGAGGGCCGCAGCCTCCCCTGTCCTGCCCAGGGGACCTCACCCCTCCTGGGAGGTGGGGGTACCCTGGGCCTCTGCAGGTCTGCTGTCTCCACCATACCCCCTCTCACCCCACAGATGACAGCCTGGGCTCACTGGAGCTGGACCAGCGGACGCACTTCCCCCAGTTCTCCTACTCAGCCAGCATCCGTGAGTGAGCGCCCGCACCTACACCTGCACGCGGGACACGCGGACACGTGCACGCCGCCTCCCTGTGGCCACCTCTGGAGACGCGCACGCCACTGCCCGCCACCTGAGTGGCTTTTTAAAACAAACTTTATATTTTGCCTTTCTGGTTTGTATCCCCATCCTTCGCCCCCTCCCCTTCCACTTCCAGCTCCTCCTCAGTCTTCACCCAAACTCAGCAGTCTCCCCTTCGGGCCTGTCCCTCTCCTGCCCCACCCCCGGGTGGGCTGTGGGGGCAGTCAGGGCTCTCAGCACCGGCCCAGCGCCAGCAGAGCGGACACCACGCAGGCAGCTGCCTGTACTGCTCTTCAATATGGAGGCCGCTTCTGGAGATCTGGTCACTCCAAGTAGACAGCCGCCTTCACGTCCTGTCCCCTGGCCTGGCAAGAGCAGTCTGCCCCATTGCGGGGAGAAAAGCAATAATGGCCGGGGACATTAAAGTGAGAGCTGGGGTGAGGGAGCCAAGGCTTCCTCACCACCATCCATCGGAGCAAGGTCATGCCTCTTCCTAGGCTGCTCTCCTGACCCTGTGGGTGAGGCCGGAGGCCGGCCAGCCCAGCCTCAAGCCCCGTGCCTTACCTGGGCTTTCCTCCAGCTGCCCTTACATCCCGCTGGACTCCTGGCCTGGCTGGGCGCCTTTGTGGTGGAGGGCACCTGGGCTGTTACACATCCCACAAGAGACAGTATTGGGCTTTGGACTCGGGTCAGGGGTGGAGGTGGAGGTCTCTGGTACGCATGGGGGTCAAGGCCTCTGAGAACGGAGGCCAGGGCACTGCACCCCTCCCCATCTCCAGGGCCCTGTGTTTGCAGCCTTAATATGAGCATGAATGAGTGTGTGTGTGCAACTTGGACTGTGTGGGCATCTGAGCTGCTGGGATGCACGTCTGTGTGTGTGTGTGTGTGTGTGTATGTGTGCGCGTGTGCATGCACTCAAACAGGCAGATATCCTGGCCCTTGAGTGTGTGCGGTGAGGGCTCGGGGTCAACCTCCACCTGCCGCCTGCCCACCTCCTTTTTCCTCTTCCCATCCTCTCTGGTGTCTGGAATTTAGGTTTTATGGTTTTGACCTCCCTGCCCAACCTCCTCAGACTAGGCAGTTTATGAAAAGGCAAGGAGGAGTGGGTGGGCAGGAATGTAGGTTTTGTGGGGTGTCTTTTTCCTTTGTGTGTGTGTTTATTTGACAATTCTTTCCCCCCCCCCCCGCCCCCCCCCAGCCTTTCCCTCTCCTATTTGTACGGTACAAGCAATAAATTTCAGACCAGGGCCTCGCCTGCATTCTATGGACATTGCCCCAGCCTTGTAACCACTGTGGGGTTGGTCCCTGAGCTCCACACACCTGCACTGTTGCTGTTTTGGAGCCCTGCAGAAAGCTAGGCAGGTGGAGGGGGCAAGTCTGGGCTAGTGCGGTTGGGGTGAGTAGAGGGGGGCGGAGCAGGAGGTTGTGGGAGCAGCCAGTGTGGTATGCTGGCTGGGGCTGGTAGGGGCACTGCTGCCTCAACCCCTGCCCCCCACCTGTGCTGCAGCCAGAAGCCATGAGACCCCACATTTCACCACCAAGACTGGTGTCTCAATATGCCAGATGGAGGACCTGGAAAGACCAGGAGCTCAGGGGTGCAAGGCACTGGAGTCCAGATTCCAAACCAGAACCAGAAAGCCATCTCTGACGGGGTGCATCTAATGGGCACAGGAGACAACAGAGAAACACGAGAACAAAGCTGACCATCTGTGCAACCAAAGAGAATGCTACTGGGGTTTACCCAAAGTATGACATGCAAAGTCTGCCCTAGGCAGTAGAAATGAGGAGGGCAGATGGAGGCCACGCCCTCTCTTGGGGTGTGGCTGGTGCTGACTATGGCTTACAGGATGACCAAGGGGAGGGGCGTGTACTAGAGAAGACACCTGCCATAGTGGCTAGGACAACCCTCAGAAAGGCACACGTGACAAAGGCTGGCCCCAGCTGGGGGCACTGGTGACAGGTGGCTGGATCATGGGGATGTGCTTTCTTAATTGGTGACTATCTTGAGTTGGTTACTGATGGGGCTACTAAGGAGTTGGAGAGAGCTCAGTGGACAGCATGCCTTTGAAGGGCCTATGATGTCCCAGGCCTTTCCCAGCTGCTTCCTGATCCAAGAGGCGGGCAGCTCAGCATCACTACCCTTCCCTGAAGCCTTCACCTCAGGCCTATTTCCACCAGCAGTTCCAAGATAGCCCAGGCAGGAAAGTCTGAGAGATTCCATCTCTAACACAGTTCTACAAAAAGCTGTGCTGGTAGCATGGCTTAAGTGGCAAAGTGCCAGCCATGGGCCCACAGTCCAAGTAAGTTTGAAGGCTTAAGTTAAAACTTGAGTACTAGCAGGGCATCAGTGGCTCACAGATGTAATCCTAGCTACTCAGGAGGCTGAGATCTGAGGATAGCAGTTGAAAGCCAGCCCAGGCAGGGAAGTCCACAAAAAAATCAAGAACTCAGTCACCCAGTCAGGAATTGGAAGATAAAGCAGAGGAATTACATCAAAGACACTTGAGAGGAGAAAAATACAAATGGAAATTTACAAGCCTCTGGGAGATCCTCAAAAGACTAATACTAGCTGGGCACTTACAAACCTTGTTACTCAAGATGCTGAGCTCAGGATCATGGTTCGAAGCAGGCCCAGGCAGGAAAGTCTGTGAGGCTCTTCCAATAAACTCAGGAAAAGCCAGAAGTGGTGGTATGGCTCAAGTGACAGACCACTAGACTTCAGCACAAGAGGCTCAGGGACAACGCCCAGGCCAGAGTTCAAGCCTCAGGAGCAGAGGGTGGGGTGGGAGAGGGTGAGTGCTGGGAAGACCAAAGGTATAGATAAACTAAATAATAGAGACCAGGCACCAGTGGCTCATGCCTGTAATCCTAGCTACTAAAGAGGCTGAGATCTGAGGATTGCAGTTCAAAGTCAGCCTGGGCAAGAAAGTCAGCAAGACTCTTATCTCCAATAAAGGACTCAGAAAACTGGGAGTGGTGCTGTGGCTCAAGTGGTAGAGCACTAGCCTTGAAGAGCTGAGGGACAGCACCCAGGCCCAGAGTTCAAGCCCCATGACCAACAAAAAATAATAGAAAATATCCCCTAACCATGAGAAGTTCATGCAAGTACAGGAGGCTCAAAACCAAACAGGCAAGATGAAAGGAACACCCCTGGACTTACAGTTAAAGCAATATACAGATCAAAGAATACTGAAATCTATAAAAGGAAAGTAACAAGTCACATATGAGTGCAAACCTATTAGAATAACACACCCTCTAAAGGCAGGGAAGCATGGAAAGACATACACCATGAAAGATAAAAATTGTCTATCTAGTGTGCCCATCAAAGCTATTCCTCATAATTGAGAGAGAAAAAACTTCCACAATAAACACAAGCTAATGGGCCTCAGGACCACAAAACCAGCCTTGCAGAAGTACTTATAGGGGTTCTAGATACAGAAGACAAATGAAAACAGTGGGACACCTATGCTTCATACCTGTCATCCTAGCTACTCAGAAGGCTGAGATTTGAGGATCACCATTTGGAGCCAGCTTAGGCAAGAAAGTCTGTGAGACTCTTACTCCAGTGAACCACCCAAAAGCCAAAAGTGGAGCTATGACTAAAGTGGTAGAGCACTAGCTTTGGGTGGGTGGGGGGGGGGGGAACTCAGGGAGAGAGCCCAGGTCCTGAGTTCAAGCTGCAGGACAGGTGTCCCCACTAGACAAACCACGATTCTCAGATCTCAGCCTTCTGAGTAGCTGGAATTGCAGGGTGAAGCACAGCCAACCTTTCACCTTCCATTTACACCTGCCCAGGATTAGGGAGCTTGGCAAACTCGGAGTGCGCAGGCGTCCAGGTGCATTCAAAGCGCCTGCAGCTGCCCCTTCTCTCCAGCTTGAAGCTGCCTCCTTGGTCTAAGCTAGTGGAGGATGCAGGTGAGAGGCCTGGACCCCAGTGCCAGCCTCCATCTCTGGGCCTCTCCAGGCACTGCCCCTCAGCCTCTGTCCATTTCAGGGTCCCAACCCAGAGCCAAGCACCTCAGTTCCCAGTGGCATGGCCGCGGATAAGAGAGTCTCCCCAGGACTCCCAGAGAAGCCTCAGGATCTGGGTAGAGGGCTGGAGGAGGCTCTGAGCACACTGGGGCTGGAGGGAGAACGCGAGTATGCTGGGGACATCTTTGCTGAGGTCATGGTGAGCACCTAGAACAGCTTACGGGGGGCTGGGTGGGTGAGGCCAGCATGGGCCAGTCTCCCCTCTTGCCTGTGTGCAGCCTGCCCTTGGGGATTTCACAGTCCTTTGTATTTGTGCCTTGCATTTATTATTAACGTGTGCGTGTGAGCGTGCACCCACGCCCTGCTACTGGGGTTTGAACTCAGGGCCTCATGCTCTTCTTTAGCTTTTTCGCTTAAGACTAGTGCTCCAGCCCTTGAGCCACAACTCCATTTCCTGGCTTTTTTTTGGTGGTGGGGGGGGGGGTTGTTACTTAGAGATAAGAGCCTCACAGGCTTTCATACCTGGGATGGTTTTGAACTGAGATCCTCAGATTTCAGCTGCTGCTGCTGCTGCTTTTTTTTTTTTTTGGTCAGTCATGGGGCTTGAACTCTGGGCTTGAGTGCTAACCCTCAGCTCTTCAGCTCAAGGCGAGTGCTCTACCACTTAAGCCATAGCACCACTTCTGGTTTTCTAGTGGTTTGTTGGAGATAAGAGTCTCATGGACTTTCCTTGCCCGGGCTGGCTTTGAACTGTGATCCTCAGATCTCAGCCTCCTCAGTAGCTAGGATTACAGGCGTGAGCCACCGGCGCCCGGCAGATCTCAGCCTCTTGTGTAGTTAGGATTATGGGCATGAGCCACCAGCCTGGCAGACTGTCTTCACTAAGGAATGCAAAGTGAGATGGTGATAGGGTGTAGTGCGTGGAGAAGGGGGAAACGGACTTTTGGAATGACCAAGAAGGCAATGCAAGGAGCTGGGGGCAGGGACCGTTTCAGGAAGAAGGAATGGTAAGTACAAAGGTCCTGAGGTAGGAGTGAGTTTGGCATAGCCAAAGGGTGGTTAAAATGTGGAAGAGAGGAAGGAAGTGACATAGGATCAAGAATAAACTGGTTTTCTCCCACCCTAAGGAGGGGTACAGAGAGTCGTTGGACGTTCTAAGCTGGGGGTTCCTTGGTCAGATTTTCAGTTTGGATAGATCGATGCTTCTAGATGTTCTCAAGGAGTAGATGGTTGACTGTGGAGTCTGTGAACCTGAGGAAAATGACCGGGTGCAAGGCCATGGAGGTTCCACACGAGAAAAGGGGAATAATCTAGAACGAAGTCCAGGGTACTAGCCGGGGACGCAGAGGAGGAGCTCTACTGGAGGTTAGTTTGGAGTGTGACACCCCTGTGGAGTCTAACTCACCCCAGGCGTCCGCGGCGTCCAAGGTCTGGAGCTCAGGCAAGTCCGAAGGACAGGTGTGGAGAGTAAGGCCGCGCTCGCCCCGCCGCAGGTGTGCGGCGCGCTGCCCCGGAGGGCCTTGCCCCGCACCGTCACCCCGGAGATGCGCGCGCTGGTGGTGGACTGGCTGGTCCAGGTGCACGTACGTACCGTCCGGTCCCGGGGGAAGGGGGGCAGGGCCGAACCCGTGTCCGCCGCCTGGGACCCTTGGTGGTCACCCCCTGCCTCTTGCCAGGAATACCTGAGCCTGGCGGGGGACACGCTTTACCTGGCCGTGCACCTGCTCGATTCCTACCTGCACACGGGCCGAGTGCGCCTGCGCCGCTTGCAGCTGCTGGGCGTGGCCTGTCTGTTCCTGGCGTGCAAAATAGAAGAGTGCGTGCTCCCTGAGGTATTTCCGGGGCGGGACGGCGGGGGCGGGGCCACGGGCGGGGCCTGGAGGGGGCGGGGCTGGGAAGGGCGGGGCTCTGGGCTGCAGTCGCTGGTTGAATATGCCTGGTGGGGAAGGGACTGCTAATGTGTCCCTCCAAGAGAGGGGGAGACTGACTCTCGCAGAGAGAATGGCATGTGCACTTGGGAGTGGAGCCCATCTCGAGTAGTGTAAGGTCAGCCTCTTGGGTGGAGAAATGAAGGCAGAGAGGTTCAGTGACTGTCCCATACCACTCAGCGACTTTAGTGCTGGGGAATGAACCCCGCTATGCACATCTTCCAGATTTAAAAGTCAGGTGCCTGGGGGATCACTTCCTTTTTAATCCAGTATGTGGGGCTTGAACTCAGGGCCTGGACTCTGTCCCTGAGCTCTTCAGCTCAAGGCTGGCACTCTACCACT